TGACCTACTGTAAAATTTGGTGTATCTAAGGTCTATTATTTAATTTTGTATCTAGGGTACCTCTATATGGGGATACGCCGTATTAAGACAATATGTTTTACTATATCTACCTGGGATGATACATATAGTATGTATAATACCTATGTACCCGAGTATAAGTCACCAACTGGCTCTTAAAACTGCTAGAGGGTATACAGCATGGGGTATATATGTCTAGATTTTATGATATTTTTTAATTTTAAAAATCTTTTTTTATTTTTGTTATTTATTTTTTTTTTATTAATTAACTAATACTACCTAATAGTAACCTTTTTTCAGAATTATCCAATACGTAGAACCGATAAAAAAAATTTGACTGCTAATCTAATTTTTTGATAAAAATTAACTTTGTACAGCCTTCAATATGAATTAATTTATAGTAGATTAATAATAATAATAATAAATCGACCTGCTGATTGAAATCAAAAAATTAACAGATCTCTTTCAATATTATTAATCAATTGATTTTAGAATAGGCGTTAGCTATATTGCAAGAGATTCAGATTAACTTTGTGTAACTTAAGCTCATTAATATTTTTTTTTTCTAGAATTTAGAAACTAACCAAGATATAGTCAGTAAAATAGTTATTTCAATATTAAATGATAATGATGATACATTTTACACCAATTGTTGTTGAATTTCATCTATTATTCAACCTATTAAAGAAGCGATAAATAACCTGAAAGATCGTACAACAAATTTTGCAGACTGCTTCATTAATATTGTAAAGTTAGCTGCGGCTATTAACAGAATCCCTATAAATAATACTATCTGTGAACCAGCTATAGCTATATTTAACAAACATTATGCAGAATTTGATATTAAGCCATATTTACTTGCTTATTTTCTGCATTTGGGTTACAGAGGTATGTACGTATTCAAGTTTAAAACTAGCTTTAATAATCTAAATACATATAGGTAGTAATTTTTTTATATTTTTAATATGTATACATATGTATATATAGGTCTTGGCTTACAAAAAGGGATGTTTTGAGAAATTTTTGAGATTGCTGTTAAGTTCTATAAAAGTATTCACAATGATGAAGCTGCATGCCACCAGATAACTACACAACTTATTAATTATTATAATAATGAGTATCTATTTAACTTCAACTATGATTTTTCAAAATCACCTAATATGTGGTGGGGTATAGTTGAAGACAAATATTCTAACCTTCAAGATTTTGCAAAAATCGTTTTTGCAATAGTGCCTTTACAAGCAAGTTGTGAGCATAACTTCTCTATTTTAAGATGGCTATATGGTATATACCAATCACAGTTATTACCTGAATGGTTAGAAAGTATGGCTCAAATTCACTCTTTTTACATTTCTGATTTCAAGGACAAACTTAAATTTTATAGAAAAGAATTATCAGAGAGTGAACTTCATGATTGTGCATTAACTTAAACAATCTATGCAATAATGGAAAATAATGATATAATTTTAGAATCAAATGATATTTTAGAATCTTTTCAATTTTCAAATAATAAGAATCTTAAAATTAAATCAATAGTAAATTTGTCAAATACAACTTTTGGCGAACAAGGTATTGTTAATGAAATATCTCATACAACTGTAATCCAGAGAAGTAGTAATATAGATTTTGATCTTTCAACTATCGTAGAAAGTGAATTGCGGTCTGCAAATTTATTGTAAAATTTTTTTGTGCATCTTTTTTTGTTTGCATATTTCATTTTGTTCTGCGTATTTCTTTTACTTTTGTTTTTGCGCAATTTTTTTTTTGTTTTTGCACTTTTTTGTACACTTTTTTTGTTTTTGTGTACTTTTTTTTGTACATTTTTTTTTTGTGCAATATTTTTTGCTTCACTCAATACTTTATTTGTTTCTTGTAAACATGTAAATTAAATAAATTTACTGGATTATTTAATAATATCGCTATAATATGTATTTAGTGCTATTAAATAGCTGTGGCACAGATTATGACATAATCACATGATATAATTGTTTTGTGTTGTTTGAGTTACTACACAATAGCAATAACTATAAAAACTCTTTGGGATTCTACTAAATCCCAAACTACTGGGTTTGGCTTACATCTCTAAAGTCGACTAAGGTCAAATCAACTAATATTCCTACAAAAGGTTTACAACACTAATCTATTTATTTATAACTTGTTTATTTTTCCAAAGACAGACACATATTACTAGTAATTATATAGTTACAGAAATAGTTACAGCATGTTACGGCAAAGTTACAGCAATCGTTGAGATGATTCACCTGCACCTCTAATTTTAATAAAAGTTGTAGTTTTTGTGATTCTAATAATAATATTGAAAACTTCTAAGCAAAAGTTTTCAACATAAAATTTTATATATAAACAATACCTCTTACCCTAACCTAAAGCTAACCCAAACCCCTAACCTTAAGATTATTTAATTTTTAATAAAAAAATTTTATAATACTGGGTGATATATTACCACGGGGGAAAATTAGTTATAATCTTTTTAATAATTATACAAAAAATAAATTTTGCAGCCAAATTTGCCTGCAAAACACACAAAGGAATAGTATAGAAAGTTATATTTCACCTGTTAATAATTTTCTAGTACTTCTAATAAAAATAATGAAGGCAGAACCGCTAAATTAAAAAAAAATTCTTACAAAATTTTAATATAAACTATTTATTCTTTATTCTAACCCTATTCTAACTCTAATTTTATCCGCACAAGGTTTGTTTAATAATCATATCAAATCTTAGTTACGGTTACTCATAACCACAAAACAATCATTATAATTATTTTCGACAGGGTAAAACTCGCGCTGTGAATTAGTAAAATCCGCTACGTAGATCATATAAGGGTAAAATTCACTTTTGCATTAACAGATAATAAAAAACGCAGATTTCACCCTAACATGATCTACGTAGTGGATTGTATTAACAAACAATATCGATATAAAATACATAGTATATATAATATAATACGTATATATACGTACGTACTCAAATTATTTAAATGCGTAGCCTAGCCTTGTTTGGCCCCAACTTACATGATACTTATAGATTTTATATTCCTAATGCAATACCTCTCTAAATGCTAGATTTTTCATTTTATTTTTATTTACTAATTGATTAAGAATAATAAATTACGTATATATTGCATACTCTACAATATGTACAACTAACGCTAAACGCAAAGTTTTTAAATGCATTAAAGATCATCAGCTGGTTTACGTAAGTAAAATTACCCTCTTGGCATTTTTTATTAATGCACATTTCCTTGGGTTTTACTCGTTTTGCCGTCAGGCTAATTCGATCTATCAGTGATTGGTCGATCGTCTCGTAGTTTGCCCCGCTTTAATAACTCCCTTATTTGTCTGGACCTTCGACTTCTAGATGGCGATATATAATAAAAAATACAGATAGTCTAAGCCAGTAGTTTTTAAAATTGATTACTAATCGATTTATAAATTAAAAGTCACGTGAGACACGTCAAATATATACTACAAAGACTTCGAAAATGGAGAAATAAAATCACACAAACTATGCATCACATCTAATATAAATAATAGTTTAAAAGCTAATCTACACTATTTGTCACAACAATCCAACGGTGATGGAGGTCTCGGTAATTTATGGTGAGAATTTTAGTGCACAAAAATGGATAAGATTATGTAACCAATTTTTTTTCCGGCGACGTTTTTATTAGAAAATTATGGCAGAAGATTGTATAATGAATCAGAAAATCCCCGACTTAAGGCTATTGCCGAGGTTTGTCTCATTTATTAAATAAATAGCAATAGGATTTTTGTGACTCGTCTCCTGCACTTGTGAAATTTTTAGTGTAACTTAACCCTAGCCCTAACGCTAACTCTAACCCGAAATTAATGTAAAACGTACGTGAGACAGTACAAAAAATGCATCGATGCATCATTTAAAATCTTTCCTTACATAATGATAATATGAAAAAATTAAGGGAGAAAAAAATTATTAGATACTTTATAAAATACTTATATATTTGTATTTTTATCATTATTAAATATATATTACGTATTAATTATTTAGAGCATTAACGGTTTGTATTTTTAAAAGATTTAATTTTTTTAATGAAATTTTTTTTTAATCCAGTAATTAAAACATCCAATACATCCAAACATCCAAAACATCCAGGGTAAATTTGGACATCCATTGTCTTTTTTATACAATCTATATATTCCGATATTCTTTGTACGTATATCCGACTTTATATTAATATGATGGTTAAGGTAAGTATATGTATAGTTAAAATAAATACACGTAGCCTTAAGTAATAAAACGATACACTGTGATATGATAATTGATATACATGTTATGATCAACACATTGTTACCGTTTTAATACGTAAGTGGCAAATGATCGAGCAACATATATGCGTATGAATTTGTGGCGAAAGTCAGACCCTAAACTATAAAAGGATTAATTATTAAACAAAGGCCGTATGACTCTTGCATGATACCATTTCATAAGGAATAGCGATCAACTGATCCCATGTCATCTATGTTATTTAATGTGTCATTCTTAGAGTCAGCGTCATTTTTTTGTCAATCATAATTTAAAAAATTTTTTTATTTTTTTATTGGAAAAATGCGTCAATTAAAAAATCATGGTCGTCGTTCCTCCTCTGTAATTTCTAAAAAAATGGATTCAGCAGTTGTATTATTCGAAGATATTAAAAGAAAAGAAAAAGAAATCGACGAGCATGATTCATTCCTTTGCGAAAACGATAACATAACAGAGCACTCTTCGAAAAAAGATAAAATCTGTCATTTTGAAAAAATCCCTTTGGAAATTAAAATTAAAATTTTCAAATGTTTGGAAATAGATGAAATCGTTAAGGTATCTCTAGTAAGTAATGAATAAAAAATTATTTATACTAAATGATTTAATTTAAATGAATTCTTCTAAGTTTTCTATTTAAAGGTTTGTCATGGTTGGCATAAACTTGCTTATGACGGTTCATTATGGTCGGAAATAAATTTGAATGATTTTCATCGAACGATAACTGCAGATCAAATTCTTCGATTGAGTAAAGCAGCAGGAGGTTTTTTGAAAGTTGCAAATTTTCGGTATGATATTCCCATTGTTAATTTTAATATATATTATCTATATTATCTATTTGAGATAGATTTATAAATCAATAGAAATTTGATGACATAATTTCTGGATAAAGTAGATAAAATTTATTTACTTACTTAAATAAGACTTACTTAATAAGGGACAATAATATGTTATTCCTTAATAATATTTTTTTTGCACAGAGGGTGTGTCCAACTTTCAGCATATCATCTAAAAGAATTGGCGCCTTGTTGTCCAAACATCCATACTCTTAAACTTCTCGGTTGCCGCTTCCTTGATAATGATTCCATTAACACTCTACTTTCACGCCTTGATAACCTTGAGGTATTGGATTTATCTGGATTAGTTATCATAACGAATTCGATATGCAAAACACTTTCCAGAAAATGTAAAAGACTGAAGCATATTAATCTTAATTGGTGTCAACAAATAAATTCGGTGGGAATAGAATATTTGGTAAAAGGTTGTCAAGAATTGGAATGCTTAAAAATTAATGGTCTTTCAAAAATTTCGGATCAATTGATGCTGAACATAGCATTATTGCCAAATCTTAAAAATTTATCAATGGAATCATGTCCAACATTAAATGACGAACATATTTCCACTCTACTCAAGTATCAACCATCACCATCTCCTTTAACTCATATAGATTTATCCAATAATCAACTTTTAACCGATGAAACTTTAAAAGAACTAGGAAATTCATGTCCGGAACTAACTCATTTAGAAGTTCACGAATGTACAAATTTCACTGATGACGGTTTCATATATATTGCATCTAAATGTACAAAACTTGAGGTGATCGATTTAGAGGATTGTCCGTGCATTAACGATGAGGTGCTTCAATCATTCGCTGCTCATCTTTCAGATCTTAAAAAGATCTGTTTAAGTTATTGTGAACTAATTACAGATGATGGAGTAATTACACTTTTACAACAATGCACAAAGATATCTCGTATTGATCTTGATCATTGTCAGTTGCTAACCGATGCGGTTTTACATAACCTTTCTTTAATATTGAATGATAGTAAGGTGAATTATATGGAAGTAGAGATATTTGATTGTCGAAATATTTCAATTTCAGCGGTTAGAGAAACTGTAAAGAAAGCTACTGATTCTGGTGTGCATTTAAAGCTTAAAGGATATTACGCGTGGCAGGCTAATAACAATACAGATTCCGATGATGATGATAATGGGGGAAGAATTGGTGGTTCTAGTTGGGTTAGAAACAATAGGTTAATTAGACGTCTTACGGGTACACATGGTAGTTCATTACGAAGTCATTTAGGTGCTACATTTCGTATTAGAAGTACTAACAGAGACAATAATAGAGGTGGAACTAGGCCGAATTATACAGGTAGAGGAAGTAGGAGTTGCGTTATTTTGTAAATAATGATGCTAAAGTTGTGCAAATAACTATTATCATTAAATTAGAATGCTAATAGCATTTAAATAATGATTTATCATTAAATTAGAATGCTAATAGCATTTAAATTCTCTAGCATCAGTATATCAAATATCATATTTATTCTTTTTGATTAGCTTAAGTGAAAATATGTTCTTTTCTATTTTTTATCAATTATTTAATTCAGTCAAAATTTAATATTTGATATTTTACAATCCATTTATGCCCGAATAATTTGTAAGATTTTATCGTCATTTCACACCTATAACTTTATAATTTATGTTAATGGGTAGAATGAATTGTCCGTTTGTATTATTTATGTTTTTATGTATGTACAATATATTTTTTTAAAAAAAATAAACCCTTTCCCGCTTGATAACTTGAATATGAGAATTTTTATGAAATATAGTTATCATTAATACATCTTATATAATCTTATATAATTTTATATATTCTTATATATTTGTATATATATAATAATAATTAATAATAATTAAATCCTGACTTATCGGATTTTTTCTTATGACAAATACACGTTATCATTAACACGCCTTAAGAAAAAATTCGCTAATCTCCGATGAGATTTATTAATCAATAAATCCCTGCTCTCTTGCGTCATTTATCAAAAACATTTCTTTTTAAAATTATTATATT